TTAATTTGATATTGTGCAGATACTCATGTTCTGCTCTTATTAAGAATTTTGATTTGACAGTTGTGGTGAGTGTATAACTGAATACCAGAATGATAGAAGTTGAGCATTGAGTGCCTATACGAGCAATAGTGAAGTGCTAGTAGAATTGTTTACTGTATATGTTCAATAAAAGTAATTACCTCATTTATAATTGAGGAAGTGTTGAAACAAAAAAGGCACCAATTATATGAATAAGACCAAATAGGTCATTACAGATATTCTCCTCAATAGTGGTTTTTTATCTAAAACCATACATATCCGTCTTCAAATATTATATCTGCAATTTATATATTATAATTGCTCGACCACAATGCACACGAAAATGGATCCTCAAAAAGAAGATAAAAATATATGCTTGATTTTGAAACTCTAGCTTTCCATAGTATTGGTGATAGGTTTTACTACTCGATAGATTGATCGTATTAGTTTGACGAGTTAGTAATTACTCCGAAAGGGAGATTTAGTAACTGCTCGATTCGTTAGTCATAATTTTAGGGATTGTTTGTCCAACACTTATTTTGCATTTTTGTCTCATTTTAACTCTTAAAGCACCTCTCAAACACAAATCCCAATACTATCCAAACAACTTTTTAATTTACCTTTTAAAAAATATTCCAAAAATTATTTTTATACAATTTTCATCCACCACCATCGGACCACCTCCACTGCTGCCGCCGCCTCCGGACCTCGCCGGCCGGATTCCGGCAAGTTCTCCACCACCGGACGGTGGGCGGTCCAGCGGCAGCGGCGGCAGTGGAGATGGTCCGTTGGTGGTCTAAAAATATTATTAGTTTATTTAAAATATCACCCAAACAAGTTTTTAAATTTTATTTCAAACTACATTTTAAATCACATCTCAAACTCAAATCAAAAATCAAAATAAAAACTAAAACAAAATGTTGGCCAAACAAGCCTTTAGTTATCCCAACATCGGGGGGAGAAGTAAAAATATATGATTCATAAATAAAATGGACAAGATCATTATCTCATTAGATCCTTCATGATATGAACCTGAAGTTCAGAAGATAATGTGTAAGACCATATGTTAACCTGACCGAATGTGAAAATACATCTTATATAAAAGGCTGTTAAAACTCAGAATTTGACATGTGTCCCTGGAGGACTATCTACCACTAGTTTTAGTTAAATTTCCATTTGATGAGTGGTAGAACTATCGATTCCAATGATAAAAATCATCGTAATTGAAAAGTTTAAATCTATAGATGGAAAATACGAGTGACTAGAATTCATAAGAATCTTTAAATTTGAATAGTCTCCCACTATGATGAATCAACTTCCAAAGGAAATATAAAAGTATTTGGGAACTTTAATAATTGTTAAAATCTCATTATTAAAGAAAGATGGAATCAATCAGCAACAAAATGTTGACATGAAATTTGCTTATGCTGCAGCAGCTAATATAATGAATGACAATAAGAATAATGAAATAAAAGTCTGTCGTGGATATAGACATTAAATTTATTGGCCATATATAATACATAAAAAGACGCAATACAGACTTAATGATGTGTGTTTTACACACACTTTGAATTGCTTGAAGCAATAAGAGTTTTGAAAAGTAATACATCAGCTAAATGTTGTCAGGTGATTGTGCAAACGATTAATGAGCAACCGACTTATTGTAAAAGTTTTTCCAAAGTCTGGATGTTAATAATTAAGAGATAAATTCTCTTGTGGTGGATTAAAATATTCATTCTTCCATTATTTGCTAAATCCGGCAGAAAATGAAGAAATAAAATGCGTCTAGTGAATATAGTGATCACTTGAAACAATACTTGATATTTGCTATTTGAAAATGGTGTTTACATGAAATTCTTAAAGGATGCAATAAGGGACATGGTTCCGATTCTTGAGAAATTAATATGAAAGACTTCCACTAGTTATAGTGTCTTCATGTGTCTAGACAACTATTTATGTGCCTAATTTTTGGTTGTTGCAATTTATGCACTTGTCTAGATCTTTGTTTTATTCATATATGTTATGTTTGTCTCTAAGGTGATTATTTACCTTTGTATGTACTTTTATGATTATATTAATTTGCAAAACATGAGTTTTCATAATTATAAGTGTGTTCAATATTTTGTTAGCACGAAACTTTTAGAGAGTTTGAGAAGGCTAAATATTATTGAAATTCGTTATAAAGTTTAAATAATCTGAATATCATTAAAACTCCTGAACAGTTTATTATGGTTATTAAAACTTCAAAAGGAAGTTCAAAAGATAGTTACATTGAAAAGGTTGCTACTTGTCTGAAGCAAGAATAATGAAAGAGTTTTGACAGAATCTCGGTCATAGTAGTTTGGCCTGAGTTTATATACATTTAACACCCATTGAGCGCACTAGACTATAGTCTGATGTGCATAAAATCCTTTTTATAGCCTTCTAATAAAATGTAAACTGATTTGGTCTCGAAGTACCATATTGTAACGCTTATAAGCATCGGTTTATCACCCAAGGCATTAGTGAATTGTATTTAAATACCTTCTTGGATGTGAGTCATAGATCTCTGTTGTTATAAAGGACTCAAGATTACATCAGTATATGAAAATGATCTTCTGCAGAGAAATCGAAGTGATCGGTCTATTATTGACTTCAATTGTGAACCTAGTCAACAGGAGGAGTAGCCCTACGCTGTACTCTTTTTCCCTTCATCGAGATTTTGTCCCAATAGATTTTCCTGGCAAGGTTTTTAATGAGGCAGCGTTATCTCTGGAAATGTACTCTTTTTCCTTTATTAGATTTTTATCCCACTAGGTTTTTTCTCGTAAAGGTTTTATCGAGGCATTATCCCAAGAAATAGACATCCAACGGGGAGTGTTATAAATATATTCATAATGTAGATATTGATAAAATAGAAGAGTTATATTAGGATTCCATGTATAGAGATAATATTTAGTCAGAATTCATATTCGTTGATCTTATCTCTGTATCTACTTGTTTATATAAATAGTAGCCAGTCCCTATTGAATATGATGCACCTGAATCTTTTCTTCTCTCTCTTATAGTTCTTTTTCTACAATTTATATTCACTTTATAATAGTGTAGAGTGTTTTTTTGAAACAACCTTTTTTTTTTATCAAACTATTTCCGTAAGTAACCTAAATTAGAATCATAATCCTTCCATGACTTTTTTGTACTACCACGCGGATCCTCTCCAGGAGGAGCCATTAGCTATGTAACGAAGTTTGATAGTCTATGTGTTGATGATAAAACCATGGATGAGGAAGCATGTCCTGGAACTACGGTCCCAAGTAGCAATTGAAGATTATTCCCCTTTTCTCTTTGTGCACATTATTGTAACAAAGAGCATCACTTGGAGTTTTTTAGAGGTTGGTTCAAAAATTTTTTTAAAACTTTCTCATCTACTAATATGAGCGTTGTTCAGATGGCGTAACAGTAGTTACATTACGAATATCATGAAGTGTATAGGATATCTTCTCCTTTTTTTTTTTAAATAGAAAGGTTAGAATGATATTCAAGTTCTAAGTGTCTCAAAAAAACTCAAGGGATATACTTAAGAGATATGTTTTGAGACAGACAGTGTCAGATAATACAATGTACCCAAAGGGTATATTCAAGAGATCGACATATATACCATCCAGTTCCCTAGTCACATCCCTCCCAAAATTGTATTCAATTAAAATCTGAGAGACCAAGAGCAGTGCATCAAACTAACCCTTGGTAATTAAGAAAACTCAAATGTGCAACATTACAATTGCCATAGCCTGACTAATATAAAAAACTTGCTAACAATACTACCCCGGACAAGTTATTCTAGTGCAGGATGTCTTCTCCATTCATGGATGGTTCATTAGATGTATCGTGAGGTTTGTTCAATAAGAAATTGTTAGTAAATATTGTGGATGATTTAGGTGATAATGTATGAGATGAAGTCAAACTTTTCATGTGTATTTGACTATTTGGGTGTTAAATTTGAATGTTCGACGGTTAAAGTTAGACATTGATAATTGAAGAAAGGCAAGTGGTACTAATTTTAAGCAATTTTTTAATACGTACAATTATTATAATGATAATAACTATTGGAACAATTAATTTTACAAGTTTTTTCAATTGTAAACTTCCAATTTCACACCAAAAACGATTCTGATTCTATGTTTCGATGCTACGACTCTAATTTTTTTTATCCAAAACGATTTGTGTAGAAACCTTAGTTCTAGAAACAAAAGATATGATTATAAGTTGTTAAATCAAACAACAACACTCAATAGGCGAATTAGAGGAGCCTTGGGTTAAAGCCCAAAGCGTAAAATAAATAAAAGTTTGAGTTTTGGGCCTAAGACCTAAGTGGCTTTATATTCTTAAAATTAATTACAATTAAAACTTGAGCACGAGAAATTAAATCGCTAAGTAGATAAGATACACGAATCAAATCATGTTCTAACCACTGCAAAGTTCTCATATGCAAATGAATGAGATCCCGGACTCAAAACTGCAACCAACATTAGTCTACAAATTCACAGAATAAAATACTTTACAAAAATAAAGATGTATGCTTACTAAAACCACCATACTTAAATCCTTTTTTCACTTTAAACTAAAATCATTGAAACTCATAAGAGAAATTAAATCACATTTAGCAACTTAAATGTAATTTTTAATCACAAAGTTGCTTCATGGTACGCGTCTTAATATGTAAATGGGTTCTTTAATCAGTCAAATGAAACAAATTTCCACGCAAATCTCCGACTTGATGAGTTTACACAACTCGCGGATCTCTTCTTCGCAGGAATTTAATTGATAATCAGGGTATCCAACAATACTCTCTTCAGCCCCATTGCTCGCGGTTTTTTTTTTTTTGCAAAGCTTTGACCCTTGCCTTGTGAAGCGACTAGCAAATTATTATATCTTACTCTGAGTGGTTGGCAACAATTAGCCAAGAAAAACAATGAGATATATTGTTTATGAAAAGTATAAAGGGTCCTAAATTCAACGTTTGATAATAGCTTGGAATTTAGCTTTGAAAAAAAAAACCCTCTAAATTACAAGTGAAAAATTAAGTACGAGGTTACAATCAGCTGAATGAACAACCATAGGAACTGACAAACATGCAACAGTTTTGAACTAGCTTGTCGAGTAGCAACATAATCATTGATGCAATTTCAATGTCATATGTTCTTAACACCACAAAATGCTTTAACTCTTTCCTCAGATGACAAAGTTGGATTTCTTAGACGAAACTTTAATAGGCCAAAATGATCAAATGAGTTAAATTGTAACGGTTCATTGGTATGATCAGATAGCTCTTCGAGGACTTGAACTATTCCCTTGTGAAAGCAAAAAAGCCCAAGCGATCTTCTTGCTTTCTTTCCCATAATGACTCTGTGAAAGCAAGGTTGTATTCTGCCGTTGCTCCATGCCTACATGTAACAACATTTAACTCAATCACGATCAAGTAGTGTTTGCCCGTCGGGATCTCGTTAAACAGTTTAACAAAATGAACTATTTAAGTAAGACGGTTGAGATTATGACATGTTATGATAGTTTAAGAGAACTGAACTCACCAACAAGGCATCACCAGCCATAATTGCAAATGAAGATGGTGGGAAAGTAATTGGAATCCAAGTACCATCTTTTGAATATTTCACCCCCAACCCTGAAACTCCATTTTCCTTGACAATGCTCACAAAACTTGTGTCTGTATGGGGAATAATCCCAACGTTATTTGTTTCATTCGCTTTGGCCGTCTTGTACGAATTGGCTCTAAGAAGATAAGAGGTTGAATTTATATAAGAATCACAATATTTCTCGACGCCATAGCTCTCGAATATCATTCTAGTCACTATTTCTCCCAACTTTGATGCTTCTCTTGTATAGTTAAGTATTGTTTCACTGATCGCCATTAAGGGAAAAAATTACGTCAATAACAAAAAACAAAAAAGTATAAATTTGGTTGTTAAATAAAAGTGATCAATAATGGGTACTTAAATTTAATGTGAGTTGCTGCGTGTTTAAATACAAGATTATATATGCATCAAGTTATATCTCTAAATCTGAGGTCTGAAATAAATAAAGTTAATAGGATTATGCTAAAAATAACATTATTATTTTATATATCGTGCCCACCGTCATACCATTTTATTATAATACTTTAAATCAACAATGAAGGAAATTGGACTTGGTAGCTTCCTTTCGAATAACCACAACAACTCGGTCATGTTGACAAAAATCAAATCAATTTGTTTATGAACGAAAGTTAATACATCAACTTCCAAAATTGCATCTTGCTAGCGGCAACTTTAAATCAATTAAATAACAAAAAAAACTCCATTTTCTTGAAAAAAAAAAAAAAGATTTTCGATTTTACTAATATCCAATCCAAATCACTCATGAATTTGGATCATTAAACTAACATTGAATTTCTGATGAGAACATGAACGTTAGAACTTCAATCATATTAATTAGAAAAAATGCACAAAATAAGCCTCACAATCGATTTACTTAATAGATTTAAATGCGATTTGTAGTCAGAAGAAAAATATATTAACCCCCCAAAAAATGCATATAATTACTTACCAAAAAGCATCATTTCCATCCGGCCACATGAGTTTGGTCAAGCTTTGAACTGGTTCATATCTTGTTGAATCTCCAATACCAATGGCTTCAATAAGGCTATTAGGCTTTTCTCCAAAATAACCCGAACCCGGCATCACATCTGTATACAGCTGTTTTGTTTCTTTGGGAAGATTAAAGAACTCTTCCACCGATGTAAATACTGAATTTATCAGATCCGATCCAAGTATACCATCACCATCTTCATAAACAGCGACGAAAACGCCGAATTCCTCCATTGCTTTCCTCACAGAATTGCAGGTTGAAACCCAGTTCTGTGTGCCAGGGTTCAGGTTTTCCTTGGTGAAATTTATGGTAGGAATCACGGGGTGCTTGCAGTTTTCATTTTCTAGTGAAGAAGCCAAGAGTTGACCCTTTTTTGCCATTTGGGAAATTGATGCATTATGGAACCTTAGCCTTGGTAAATATGGTTATTTATGGTTTGGGTTATAGATCAGCTAACTTTTTTATTTTCTCTTCCTTAGATCAGCTAACTTTTTTATACATATAAGCCTTTTGAGAAAATAAATCATACTACTCCCTCTAGTTCTAATTATAAAATACAAATTTGAACTTTATAATTATGATCGGAGAATACATGCCTTATAATGGGAAAAAAATTTAATTAAAGTTTGTGAATAAATCGAAATAATTGGGGACTACTTTGTGGTTCTTCTTGATTAGAGAAAAAAGATTGTGAAAATAAAATCGGGTCATCGGGTGCTTCTTGTGAGATATATAAACTGTACTTCTTCCATTCTAAAATAAGTATCATCCTAAACTTTGCATATAGTTTAAGAAACTCTTAAATAGGGTAATAAAATTACTTGAATATCCTCAATCTATTCCATTAAAAAAATGTCCACCAATAGTATTAATTCTTTTGAGAGTAATTTTGGAAATTTTGGACATAAAATGCATTGACATGTGAGAACGACACTTATTTTGAAATTTCTCCATTTTGCTAAAACGACACTTATTTTGGAACGAAGAGAGTATCTGCTCGTTGACTTCGCAATTTCCAAAGGTAATATCGCATCAATTTGCGTCATGGCAATAAATGGTCAATTCTGCGAGGAAAGCCACGTTGGAGTTCATGTATAGAAGATGATTATAAAATACCTGGATCTGATCCCATCAATTCAGTATTTGGTTTCGATTTGTGTGATAATAAAATCTCTTTTTTTTTCACTTTATTATCTTTATTGTTATATTTTGTTATGTTCCGTTTTGACCACAAATTTCATCTTAATATATCTTTGTGGTGATAAATCCGCCGTGATTACAATTTTAAGCCATTTTAATAAAATATATACTTACCCTACTACTAAGCAATTTGAGTTATCATTTGACGTGTTAAGAGCTAGGGGATGAAAACTCAAATCACTCTAGCTCATTATGCTCATTTGGTCTAGTTTTAATCTATTTGCTCCATGATCTTATAAAGTGACTCCATACTCGTTGAAATGATCAAAAATAGAACCGATCAATGTCAGAAACTAGCTTGCTTAAGATTATGTTTACTCCATCCTTCCTATATGAATAAAATTATCTACTATACCTATTATCGAAAAAATAGTTATTATATAAAAAATACTGCAACAAACAAGATTTTTTTTTTTTTTAAAAAAAGAATAATCCATTATGTGTACATAAATGTAGGAGACACGTATCGTTAAATAATGGTGAAATTTGTCACTGATTGTGATTGACATTGCCGACAAGAAAAATAATGTTGACGTTATTTTTGGCCCCTTCCACGACTCCACCCCAGAAAAGAAAACAATGTTGATGTTACGACTTCCGTTCATAACGTTTGTATAATAGTACTCTTCCCACCCATTGTAAAGGAAAAAAAAAATGTATATTGAGTTTTGAGTACAAATTTTAAAATTAAATTTGAAGTATATTTTTTGGGACAAAGAGAGTATTTAATTTGATTTTTGTCGGTACGAGGGTAATTGTTTACTAAGCAAAGCAACCAGTCTTTGCTACATTAGACAAACATCAAAGTTGGGATTCACAACAGGACTGCCTACGGAACAAAGAAGGAAGAAAAGACAGAAGAGCACCATCTATATATAATCTCGGCGTTGCAAATCATTGCCCATCAATAGGTTGAACTTTTGCTAAGAACTTAAAGAAATAATCATTCAAAACCTCCCTCATAACACTTGTGTGTTTATTCGCAAACAAATAAAATCCGCTTACACTGAAATATCTAAAACAGAAAAAGGATCTAAAATCTATTCTCTCTGTCTTGGAAAAATAATCCAGTTTTTACTGGTTTTAGTTCTTCAGTAAAAAATGAACGAAGTAACTCTTCACCTAGAAAAATTACTATGCAACACTTCTAGCTGAAATCTTCCAGAGAGTCTTGGGGATTGAAACAGAAAATGTCATCCGAATCAAAGTAGATTTGGCAAGTAGGAGAAAATCTACGGAACATGGACTTCACCATTCTCATCTCATCTTTGTGGCCTTGGAATCCAATAAACGAAACCCTCGCGAGGCTGCTCGACAAGCATTCCGGAGGTCTTTCCAACAATTTTCGTGAAAGTTGTCATCACATACAACCTTCCCAATTCTAAGCTTTTCCAATGTGACGGCGCAAACCAAGCACACCACTAAGCGAGAACCATTTACAACAGCAACATTCGATGTCCAATTTGGTCAATCTCGAAAACCTAGCCATCAATGGTGTAGTGGCCTTACCAAGAGCTTCCATGATTTTTCCATCTAATTTCAAAAAGCTCGCGTTCTCCGCGGCTTCAACCACCTTCACAATCCAATTCCAACGTTCACTGACGTATCTATTCATGACATTTATAAGATCAAGATCGAGATCAAGATTAAGTTCCACAACATTGATGGAACTTAGGCTTTTCACTGAGAATTCCTTCAATTCGTGATCCGACCACCGGAAGAATTCGAGTTTTGGGGTATCTATCTCCAGCTCTCCTTTTCTTCTGTATATTACTCCTTTTCTTCTGTATATTACTCCTTTTGGAACCATTAATTCCCCTACAACAATTATTATATATATATTCTCAAATGCCTGAGTGAAGGGGAAGAAACCCTACAAACTAGCATTTTGTCATTTTCGTTCCTTCCGATTATGAGAGTGTAAAGTAAGGGACAACTAGATGTGAATCTATCAAAAAATGCGTCTGATTCATACTTGACGAAATGTAGTTGCAATTCTTTCAACTTGGGGAGACAAACTACGGAAGGGGAATTAACCAAAACAGGCCCTAATAGTCTGAGATATTCTAGGGTTCCATAAGTAAAAAGGCGGAAAAATTACTTATATATATCTGAAAAATTTTTAGAAGAACAAAATAGATTTAGGGTTTCAATTGTTCCCGAAACTAATTCTTTTGCGCTTCAAACACGCGAAAATTGGCAAAACCGCCTTTTGAAAACGCTAAAAAAAGATTTTCGCGTTTCAGAAAAGCTAAAAATAGGATATATTAATTAATTTAACTTAATCGTAATTAATTAATGGTAAAAAAATTAATTAAATAAATTTTCGCGTTTTCGCGTCTTGATTTCTTCCAGGCCTCTTCATACAGTTTCATGGGCTTAGGAGGTAGAACATTCTGACATGTCTGGATCATATCAATGTTTGCTTGAAATAGATTGTTGCTTTTCTGAAAGGATGCTAGGATCAAAGCTATGATCGAGAAGAATCTAGCACCTTTCAAAATATTACTGAAATTCTCTGAAATGTTAGTGGTCATTTCTCCCCAACGATGCCCTCCATTGTAAAAACAGGTCCACTTCTCAACACCCAGCTTCTGAAGCCAACGAACTGCCTTGTCATTTTTTTCTTCTAATTTCTACCACTCTGCCAAATACCTTGTCTTTTGCGTCGCTGAACCAATCATTTGACAGTTGCCTCCCAGTTTCTCCTTTCGAAAATGCCCAACCAAGTTTGCTTTAACATGCTCTAGACAATACTAGTGGACTCCCATCTCTGGATATTTTTACAACATGATGTCCATGGCAGTAAGGATACCCTGATTTCGATTAGAGATAATACAGGTCTTCCTATCCTGTAGAACAAACTTTTTCAACTACTTCAAGAACCATTTCCAGCTGTGTATGGTCTCTTCGTCCACAAGAGCAAACGCGATGGGAACATTTGTGCCATTTGCGCACTTCATGCATGCCACAATTAGTTTTCCTTTGTAGGATCCTCGAAGGTGGGTGGTTTCGATGGTTATTACTGGCCAGCAAGCATGAAATAATTGTATAGATGGCCCAAATGCCTAGAAAACATACCTACATACAAACATTTGCGAGCTTTCTGAATTTTTCTTAAACTTGAATTGCACACAGGTGTCTGGGTTTGACATGACCAATGCATCATGGAAGTTGGGCAGTTGTTGAAAATTACTTTCCTATGTACCATACAGAGCCTCAAGTGCTTTTCTTCTACCATGTCATGCCTTCTTGTAGCTACATTCGACTTGGTACCTCTTCAAAACTTCTATTTGAATTTAGGCAACTACAAAATCTGGATGTTTTCGCACATTTTGGGTAACCAGTCTAGCAATCATAGAAGACGTCACGTTTCGGGACTCGTTTCTCTTGTTTGCCCCAAGACAGTTGTGAGAACCGGACCATACCACTATTTTCCAAGTATCGGTGGCCTTCTGTAGCGAAACTCGCGCCTTCCACAGGCAATCATAGCCGTGAAGACACTCTTTCCGATATTTGGGCCCACAAGTCTCGCATTCGACATACTATATTCGTTTAGAGCTAGTTTCACCCGGAAAGTCCGACCATGTCGCAAGTTCCATTCTCCCACTGCCGCCTGTGCCTCAAGCTTGTTGGTGAAATGTACATCAAGGTCAACCGTCATCGGATTGCCGTCCCACATTTTTATCCCATCAAAATCTTTTTCCTCTAAAGTCTTATCCCATCCACTGATGTCGTCGAAAACATATGGTACTGAAGAAGATGAATCAAAATCAGTGTCGTCATATGAGTCCTCATCCGATGGGACGTACTCATCGTCACTACTTTCGACACCCCCGCCATCTTCATCTTCATCTTCATCTTCATCTCCATCTTCATTGTCTTCAACTGTTCTACCACCACTAGTGTCGGCACCAATATCCTGGCCAGATGTACTTGCATAAACATAGCCTATTCTCTCAACATTTTCAGGGTACAATTCCAGCCATTTATCTGCACAAAGATAAAGAAACCCTACAGTATTATCATCATTAATGTGCACACGAGACCTTTTCCCTGACCTCTCCGTCCATACCAAAGAAAAATCAATATACAGCCCTTCTTTATCAACTTTCATCACACCACATACCTTATCAACAAGTTCCGAGAAATCTAACATACGATCAATAATAAGATAACCGTCCGGTGCATCCCGCTGTACCGTGATAGTCCCATCAGGTTC